CGGGCGGCCCCCGCCTGCGGGAGGAGCCACTCGATGGTTTCGCCGTCGGATTTGTGCCCTAGCTCGCGCGTCAGCTGGAAGACGCGGGCGGCGCAGAGGGCGGGCATTCGGATGCGCCGGCCGCGCCCGTCGACCTTCGTGTGCCGGTCCTTCGTCGAGGTGCGTTTCGGCGGTGGTTTTTTGTTTTCCGCCGCTGCGGCCGCGGCGGCGGATCGAGTGGAATTCGATGTGGTTGGTTCCGCGGAGATTGCTAGGGAAGGGTAGGGGGAGGAGGTGGAACATGATGCGGCTTCTTGCTCTTCTTTCTTCTCGAGAAGCTGGAATGGGAAGTTCTGACGGTGGTGGTGATGTTGGTGGAGATCGTCGCCTCCCTCCATGATCGCATGGAGAGGAAGTAAAGTTTGGTGCTTGAGTGAGTGAGTGGGTGTATGAATGAGTTCCTTCTGTTTGTGTATGATTTTTTTTTTTTTTTTGTATGAGAGGTTGTGATCAGTGAGTTTGTATAGTTTAATCTGTGTGGTGGGTCTCTTTGTTTTAGAGGAGGGTGTGTGTGTGTGAGAGAGAGTAGAGTTATTTGTTTTGTGCAAGGGAAGGAATTTGATTTGAAATTGATGGGGTTTAGGAGAGAGAGAGGCAGAGAAAGGGAGAGGGGATAAGGGAGAGAGCTTTAAGCAACAAAGATAATGAGTGGGAATTATACGGGTGAGCTTTAAAAAGCATGATTTTATTGAGAAAAGAAAATGCTTTGTTGATGAGGTTTTTAATTATAGGTTGATGTTAATTAGTAGTAGATGGGGTGGGAAAATGTGGTTTTATTTATTTTGAATTTAATTTATTGAATATTTGTGAAGGAAGGGAAGGGAGAGGAGTGCCCTTTTTATTGTGGTTGGACAGGCTCTTTGGTTCAGACTCCACGTGAGGTGCTCTTTTTATCATTCAATCCATAAAGACAATGGTGGCCGATGTGGGACCCGATCCCAAGTCAAAAAATTGAAAGACCTGGAAAGGAAAGATTATCGAGCGGGTCCCGTCTCATTCAAGTAATGATTTCATTTTGCCTTTGGCCTTTGCCTTTTGTTCTGCACCTTTGCTGGGGAACTTTGGGATTCCTCAACCCACCTTTGCCTTTCCTATGGGCCTAATTACACCGTGTTTACGTTTTGTTTCACATCAATTACAACCCTTTCTTATCATTAACACTTATCATTCTAATGCTTTCAACACCTCTCGCCTTGCCTCCATTATCAAATGCCTTATTAGGCATCTTTACATGACCATTCCTTTCTCATTTTAACCTCTAATCCAACCAACCAAATAACCTTTTATTTCCAACCCATAATCATTTCACCGATTATAATTAAACACCACGCACAATATTATGCGTAGGATCTTTCAAGGATTTCAGGGAAAAGGACAACATATACACATGAGGAATTCTGTAGTCACTCAACATATATGCTATTGCGGGTTATCATCTTTAGCCTTAGGACCACAAATGGCACATGGAAATGGATCTAAATCCTTGTAAAGTTTCAGAGAGAACAAGCAGTCGCTATGTTTGTTTATATGGAAGGTCCATTTCATCATTTCTATTCATTACAACTCCTTTGATATATGAGGCTTTCGTTCCCTTCAAGTTGAGGCTGACACTGTTCCTTTTACGCTAGCGTGAGCCAACTCCTACAACCCCATTTCGTTTTCTTTGCATTTATATATGAAAGGGGCTCTAGTTTCTTGTTTTAGAACTTGCCATTCATCCCTAAACTAGCTCGGCAAAATAAAATAAAATAAATTTAATTAAACTAAAGTGGTACACTTCGAATCTGTGACATATATATTATTAACTAACAAGTATTGAACACGACAGTGAATCTTGAACTCTCGGCTCTCCGGGAATATAGCCAAGCTTTTCCTTTTTCTATTTTTGTTTCTTCGCAGTTGTTTCTTACATTTACATGGAATCAAAAGGTTTTTACTTTTCATTTTCAAGCATGAGTAGTAAAATTTGAATTGTACTTTAGTTAGTCTTAAATATTGAAGTAATTGCTTGTTCAGTTATTATCACATGCAAGGGCACCTCATGGATAACGACAAACAGCACCTTCTCTTACAAAAAACATAGGGCAATTTTGGTTTTTGCATATTGCATATCACCGAGTAATTTATTGTGATGTAGATGCAAAGGTAAACAAGCATGGCAATTCAACGCCAAAATCCAATTAACCGCTGTGTTCATTTTACCTTTCATGACTGTAATTTGTCATTCTGCATTCCACTTCATATTGAAATATCGTAAGAATTGAAGCACCGTAATAATACATGATCACTAATATTATTCATATATAATTTTTATAATAATTTATTCACACTTATTTTCTCCATCTAATCTATCTTATCATTTTTTTTTTCTCTTCCTAGCTACCTCTCTTGTATATAAAAGTTAATAGAATTACTTTTAGTATATTAAAAGCTAATTGCAGCACTTTACAAATTTGTTAGACATAACAAGAGTATATAATAACATGCTTATTATGGCCTCTTTCAAATTACTGAAAGTCGACCACCCACCTACTTTCTCTCTCTTTTTTTCCAAGAAACTGAAAATCCAAATAAACGCGCAACTTAAATTCCTAAAATTTTAGGACACAATAGAAAGCACCCACGTGAGATTCCTCAGCCTTTTACACCACACATGTAAAAGCTCTTGTCGCGAAATTACATGCCAAGAAAGGCAAAGACTTACGTACCGACAAGTTGACAAAAATTTAAACGCTCTCTTCAATCCTTGATAACGACTCTAAACTCAATAGTAAAATTTGATAGTCAAAATCAAACATATTACAGTACATGTTTTAACTTGGATCAAAAAATTGTGCGCCTTGAATAAATGCATATAATCTAGCCTGTTGGTCGGTAGAAATCATCAGAGATTTGAATTGAACTTGGATTTCTTATAACGTAAATTTAACACTTTATAAAATTATTAAAATTTTATTTGATGGACATGTTTCTTCAGAGACTTCTTAGTATCAGAGGCAGAAATTAAGTTATTTGATCGACTTTTATTGATCTTCAATTCAATAAGTAAAATCATGGATCAAATTAGACATTTGTACAGTTTTAACTACTTCAAAAGAGTGTTTATCATGAGAATTTTTAGTGTATTGACTCTTTATCCAATAATCATGAGAGTATTAACTTTTTTAGACCATTTTATTCATAAAAAAAATGCACACTCTCTATAATTGTCGTCTCAAAAGAGAAAGCTCATTTCTTTCCGAATAGTGTTGTTTGCTTTAATTTAAGAATATAGTTTCCGTGTACGATTGAATTGTTGCCTTCAAATTAAAATATTTTTTTTCAAAAAAAAAAATTAATTAACATTTTCTCATGTTTCATTTTTCATTTTAAAATCAAGTAATTGTAACAAAATAAAACAAAAAGATAATGCAAAAATATGTTTGACAAAAAGTTCGAAAGTTCTTCGCGTACATGAAACAATGAAAGATCACTCATTGGACACATGAAAGTGCTAATTATATTACCTTAATCTTACCCACTGCATACAGTTTTTAACTGTGTAGTTAATTTATACTTGCTTATTAATTATTATTTTTTTAATGTAGGTAAGAAAAGTTAATTAGAACTAAGATTTTGTGGGCATATATATTACTCAAATCGTCTACTAGGTCAATTCTAATTAATGATTCTTTATACTTAATTATTAACGAATTATTATCAGTTAATCATATTGATGATTTAATTAATCCTGTATTCTTGTTGGAAAGATATTAGTTGTTCAAGTAAATCCAAGAATAAAAGAAATATTCCTGTTGTGAAATTGAAGCAGATAATGGTATTACGTAAAACGATGGATTGAAGTGTACGTGTTGTGTCCTGTCCACGAGGGCTTCGCAGACCTGCGTTGTAAGCAGAGAAGTGGACCAGATGGATATTAAAACTGTTTCTGCCCTTTCTAATTACCACATACATGCCTTGCTACTTATGTATATGTCATGATGAAAATGACACCTTACCTTCCACAAATCAACATATATATATCTTATATAAAAATATATATATAATAAAGTAGCATATTATACGTAAGAATATAATATATATATAAGAACCAATAAAAGACTTGAGAGATAAAAAAACACGTAACCTTAGTCTTAATTTGTTTTTATACGAATAATTAAAAATAACTTTATTTAAATATAACTCAACTTTATCTAAAATATAATTCAAGAATATACATGAAGTAGTGGCGCCAAACTGTATAGTTTCCTAATAAATTGGACAAGGTAGCTTGCGAGTTGCGACCAAACAATATGAATCTGAGAGGCTCTCGGTCAATGCATGTTTGGTCCCACTTTGGTTCGAGTTACCATATCTATCTATTTATTTGAATTTCGAAAGTAATTTAACCCCGAGTTTAATAAAAACAGCATACTACATAACCTTTTATGTAGAAAGGGGAGATTAATAGGATTCATGGGGAGGGATAAAGGATAGTGACACTAGCTTGAGCAATTAATTGGAATTTTGATGTTTGGTGGTTGCTGTCATTCACACTTCACACTTCACACTTCACACTTCACACTTCACAGAGGACTTGGATTCCACTACCTAGTTCTTTCTTGTCACCATAATTCACGACTAAAAAGAAAATATCTTTTCTCCCATCCAATATATACTTCTACGTCACACCATTATTCCACTGCATTCATAATTCATTACCTAATTAATAAAATAATATTTGTAAAGCATGCAGCGTAATTCACATAACTTATCCAAAGTACATTTTCTCCCCCCCTTTGATTCTGGCTGTTTCTGCTTAGATTAGGGGATTCTTAAAGAATATTTATAATTTGTAAATGCTATCTCCTTCCATCTATATATACTCCCTTCTGAATTTATATATAAAGAAAAAATATATAAATTTTTTAAACTTAAATATAAGTAAATTTTAATTAAACATTTACTCTCATTAATGTTATCATTTTAAAAATACTTCTTAAATTAAATGTGATTACTCTTTTTAATAAATATTATTAAGGATAATTTAAGATTTTAATTTTAATTTTTATATAAAATCAATAAAGTTAAATAAATATAATTATTTTAATGTGTGTAAATTTAGTTATTTTTGTTTATATATAAATTTGGAATGAAGTATAAAAAGTAAATGAATATTTTATTTTGATCCTAATTATAAGAAAAATAAATTACTTTTAACTGCATTAATTGGTAATTATTTTTTATATCCACGAGTCTATTTATTCCCTTAATTTATTATGAATCCATTAATGTGTCATCCATTCATTTTTACAAAAGTGTATGTATTTATTAAACAACTAACACTATATATATATATATATTAACATATTAAACTTTGGTATAATCTATACTGTTAATAAAAAAATATGTGTTTTTTAGTATACACATTTTGTTGACTGTTACGGCTTTGACTTCCAAAATACTCTTTCTCTCGTATTTTTTTTATGTAGTTTTTATTTTCCTTTTATCCACTTTTCCGTAAATTACACTCTCTAAATAACTATTCAAAATCGTTCATAATCTCTAATTGATAATCACTCATAAATATTTAACTTTGATTATTTATATTATTTTTTATTTTTATTTTTTAAAAATACATGAAGACACAAAGTATTTTTTTACACTAGTATATCATAATTTTAAGATGAATGTGTAATTTTTATATTAAAAAATTAATTTTATGAGACAAAAATTATAAACAAAAGTAATAATAACA